ACACACACACACACACACACACACACAAACTAAACAACAGAATACAAGAACGTGGACGAGCAGACTATTCAATATTATTAATTAATATTCATTTTGACTCTGAATATTGAAAAAAAAATCATATTTATTTTAAAACTTAAAATATGCAATGCAGTGAATGCTTAACGCAGGAAGATTTGTCCTGAAAACTGCTAAAGCTAAAACTGTTCATGTGAGTTCAGTTTGAACAGCTGAATTCTGCTGAAAGAAAACAAACGTAGACAGCAGCAGAAACAAGCTGAAAGCTCACRGACAGTAAAGAAGCTCCCATTGGAAGAAAAACAAGTACAAAACAAAAAGAGCTACATTAGTTGTAAAATAGCTAAAGCAGCTGAAATTAACAGAAAAATAGATAAAAAGTAGCTGAAAAGCTGAAATWTGAACAAAGATGCAGTAAGCTTGTTTGCTGAATTCAGCAATATGAAGCCGAAATGATCACAAAAAGGTGAATTTAGGTCAAAAAAGCTAAAATTAACTGTAAATAGCTACAAAGTAGCTAAAAATATAGTAAAGAGCTGAAATTCACAAAGTAGCTCAAAGAAGCATAATTAGCTTGTAGTAGTAGCAGAAATATGATAAAAGAAACAAAAACATATAAAAACTTAAATCAGCAGAAAGAAACTGATACAAGCCTAAAAAGTTTCAATTAAAAGAAGAATAGCTGAAAGGAGCAGGAACAGCTAAAAAAGGCAGGAAAAAAAAACTAAATTGAGCAAAAGAGAAGTAAAAAAAGTCAGAACCAGAACAAAAGAAGTTTAGATTATAAACATTTTAAAGGGTTCAAGTGATGTTGAAAACATTTATTTTCAACATATGGCAGAAAAAGCCAAATAGCTGAAAATGTAGAAGTAGCTGAAACACCATGAATGAGCTGAACGTTTTGATAAACAGTGGAGAAAAGCCTCAGGTAGAAAAATGGATCATGTCAATAATGTGAACGCTCAAAAGCTTTCACACAAAATGACAACAATGTTTTCTAGAGACAATCCTTGACCCAGCTCAACAAAGACCTTATCAGTTTTATAGCTCTTCAAAAACAGCAGGTAAAGAAGGGAATTAAAGCTTATAATGAGCTTTTATACAAAGGAAATGTTACAAATAAATAAAACGACACTGACATCATTAAAATCCTGTTTTCTTTAAGCTTAAAGCCTTTAGCTCATAGCAGCTAATGTTAAAGCTGCAGACAGATGTAGTTTATAGGGTGTAAAGCAGCTGTTAAACACGGTAAAACTGACCACTGTTAACAGCATTACATTAATTTTCCAGTCAATAGGCTGCGCTGTTAGCAGACATTGAAGTGCTAACGTCTGAGGAATAAAGTAAAGCTAGCTTACCTTGGGTTTCAGCTGCACAACAACCAGCTCTCTCTTCCTGCTCACTTCCTGTTTTACTGTATGTGGAAACAACAACGCATCACAAAAACTGTTTGTTTCTTTTGAGCTCCGTGTTGTTCTGTGCTAACTCAGCTGATAACACAGGCCGGGTTTCCACTGTCTTTACCCACAGCTTTCGCCCTGAAGCCAGCCGTCTGGCTCTGCCGTGGAGACAACACGGTGGAAAGCGCCTTGTATGGCAGCCCGGTGTGTCATATAAGTGACCCAAATTTATACACATTTATTTAGATTTCATATACTGTACTTATTTTTTCATTTATAAAAATTTACCAATTATCTGACTCAAAATAACATTTTTACATTAAAAAAATTTATTTTGAATTATGAAAAAAATATAACATCCCAACTGGGTGGGAATGGAAAAAAGGAACACAAACTAGTTAACATTAGAAATTATTTGATAAACATTTTCTTCAACTGTTATACCAAGACTGTAAAAATAGTTTTTATAATTGTAAATATATATATTGTATAACAGACTGCTGGGCCATATTACAGTACAAAGCACATCAGACCTGTCTGACATGGAAAATGTGTGGAGCATTATGAAGCACAAAATACAAGAGACCCCAGACTGTTGAGCAACTGAAGTTGTATATCATGCAAGCACGAGAAATAATTCCACCTACAAATGTTTGAGTGTTAAAGGAAAGGTGATGTAACACAGTGGTAAACATGGCCAGTTTTTTTTTTTACATGTTGCAGGCATCAAATTTAAAAAAAGCAATAAAGTTTATCTATTTAAACATTAAATATTTTGTACTTGTAGTGTATTCAATTGAATAGAGGTTAAAATGATTTGCAAATCATTGTATTCCATATTTGTACACAACTCATCATCATCACTAAAATGATCCACTCCTCTCTGACGACTGGTACTGTTCCCACAGCTTTTAAATCGGCTGCCATCACCCCCATCATAAAGAAAACAGGTCTAGATCCGACTAACTTCAATAACCTCCATCCCATTTCTAATCTGCCGTTCATCTCCGAAATCCTTGAAAAGGTCGTCGCTAATCAGCTTCACTCACACCTCTCCAGCAATAACCTCTATGAACAGTTTCAATCAGGTTTTCAACCACATCACAGCACCGAAACTGCTCYTATTAAAATTACTAATGATCTTCTCCTTGCTGCTGACTCAGGACTTCTGTCAATACTCATCCTCCTTGATCTGAGCTCTGCCTTTGACACCATCTCTCATCCTATCCTCATCGACAGACTAACCTCTATCGGCATCTCAGACACCCCCACTGGACTGGTTTAAATCCTATCTTTCTGACCGCACTCAGTTCATGCAGCTCAAGTCCTTCCGCTCCCAGTCTTCACCCATCTCCCCTGGTGTTCCCCAAGGTTCTGTACTCGGGCCTCTACTTTTCATAATCTATCTGCTTGGCCACATCTTCCGGAAATTTGGTATCCACTTCCAATCTTATGCCGACGACACTCAGCTCTACATTTCAACAAAACCAAACTCCACCCTCTCATCCTCCACTCTTACTGACTGCCTCAGTGAGCTCATTAACTGGTTCTCCAATAATTTCCTCCAACTAAACAGTAACAAAACTGAACTCCTACTTGTTGGGACAAAAAACTCCATTTCCAAATCCCAGCATCTTCTCTTCACTCTTAATAACTCCGTTCTTTCCCCCTCACCTCAGGTCAAGAACCTCGGTGTCATCCTTGACACCACACTCTCTTTCACATCCCACATTAACAATGTGACTCGATGTGCCTACTTTCATCTCCACAACATTAACCGTCTCCGTCCTTCACTCACTCCCTGCTCCACTGCTATCCTTGTACACAGCCTAGTAACATCCAGGGTTGACTACTGCAACTCTCTACTGTTTGGCCTCCCCAATAAATCCCTTCACAAACAACAGATGGTTCAGAAATCAGCAGCCCGTGTAATCACTCAAACCTCATCCTCTACCCACATCACTCCAGTCCTACAGCAGCTCCACTGGCTCCCAGTTAAATYCTGCATCATCTTTAAAATTCTCCTACTCACCTTCAAAGCTATCCACAACCTTTCCCCTCCTTACCTGTCTGACCTCCTGAACATCTCAACACCCTCCTGCTCTCTAAGATCTGCCTCCTCCCTCCAACTCTCAGTACCCCCTGCCTGCCTCATTAATATTATTGTTATTACTATTATTATTTTTATTATTATTAACGTCTCAACTTCATTGGAACTGGGGTTGTAGTTTGAGTAATAATGTGTAGTCAAACAAACCAACACTACAGAAAACACTGTGTGGATAAAATCCATAAATAACAGCTTGCCATGTAATCCAATAGTTTTTTATTTCAATAGTTTGAGTGATGCTAAAATAGCACAGTAAGCCATTAGCTAATTTTACATGCACATAGTCTAAAGAAAAGTTAACAATCACAAAGTATTGAATAAATCATGTCAAAGTTTTAAAACAGAGTACATGAATAAAGGCATTTCATCCACCTGGTAAAACTGACATTTTGTGTTTGTTYCTACATACCATCCCTTAACTAGCAAACAGTTGATGTTCGGCATAAAATGCTTAAAATTGTAACCATTTTGAAATGTTTTCAAACTACACACATTTTTATCCAGTCCTGTTCTAGAAATGCATAAAATCAACAACAGTTAAAGGAAAAACAAAACATAAATAAGGTACGCACATAAGAGTGAGTTGTTCTTTGTGACACAACCCCAGCATGCCCTGAAAGTTTTATGAAAATACGTTCATAACTTTTTGAGCAATCTTGTGCAGACCGACAACCTTGGCGGAGGTAACAAGACCAACCTTGGAATTAGCAGAAAAGGGTTTCTTCATAATAAAAATGTTGAGATATTAAAAATAAAGAGGGAATTAATTTAATTGAAATCAGTGGACAGTGGTGTAATAATGACTGTATTTTAGAAAAAATTGTGACATAGTTTGAAATGTTTGAAGGGAGGTTCTGTAGAGACAACAGTAACAGGTTTCAGCTTAGAGTGGAACAAACAGTAAAGCAGGTCTTTGTGATCTTAAAAGAACGCCTCTCTGAACGTCTTCGCAGTCTTCAGTATTTGGTACTTCTTCGAGTTTGGTGTAGTCGATTATTGTTGTGTTGCAAGTAAAACGAAATAATATTCATGTGATTATCATGCCCACATTGCGTTGCTTTCCGCTCAACGCAAACACAAACAGGGTRGGGATAGAATAAGGCCGAGCCGAGYTTYACAATGCAAAACTGCCTAGAGCGAGCCTGAATCACGGCTCAAGGGTGTGATGTACCGATGAAGGAGTCGGTGTGGCCGGTTGGATGTGAGATTTAGAATGGGAACCGTCTGAAACACGTTCTGTCTAGCGCTTTACCTAAGCACTGCTATGCTACACTCCACACCCCTCTGGTTCCACGACACCCGCTTCAAGTAAAAACCCTCCCATCTTTTGGGGGGGGGGGGAACGTAGCTGATGATGATTGATGATTTCTAAACATTAAAGCAGGGCTCGTTTTTGCTGCTATGTTGTGGGAATTGTTTTATGTCAAAGTTGTTATTTCTCCAATTCAAGACGGGCATTTACTGCAGGTAAGATACTGACTACTGCTAACATCTCTACATAACCCTGCTTAAAAAATAATCAAACTATTCCTTTAAGTTTGATCTGAATCAACTCATAAAATAAGAAGCAGATAATCGGATTTCAGTCAAACAATTAATTGYTTTAATAATTAACATTTTTCAATTAGTTTGGACTCAGCAGCATGGAAGAGGCATGAATRAAAAAATGCCTAATTATTATTTTTTTCTTTTTGATTGCAACAGTTTCCTTTGGTATTTTTGTGCACTAAAATAAAGACATACAAATAAAAATAAATTAAATTAAAACAGTAACGTYACATTTGCCCATTCTAAGTCAGTCAGTCACAACCGAGTCTGGAGCCTGGTTGATGCTAATTTCATGCTAGAAAGGGCAAAGGACTCAAAGCAGAAACTGGAAACTGCAGACTCCACATCACTCCTCCATTACAAACCTCCTGCTCAGATCCTCTTTTACAGCCAGACAAACAAAATCAGAAACTTTTCATTTCACGCTCCACGTTATAAAGCCGGCCTGCTGATCCCTCACCAGCAGCGGGTCAACAGGATCAATCATCTGGGACCTCATGGATCAAAGCGTGCGCAGCTTTCTTACTGAAAATAGGCGTATGGATGAACCGGAAAAGTAAGCACGCACAGAAAAGCTTTACACCCGTTCACCTGGTTACCCAGAGGCAGAAATCCATTTCACACAGGGTGTTTACAAATCAAAGAGGAGGAAAAACAGCAAAAGGAAACGTGAAATGTAAGAATTTTGATGACAGAAGGGAACATGACGGTTGAAGTAAAGCAGGTGTGAAGACAGGAAGGACTGGGAGAAACAGCAGGGAATCACAGGCTCTGGCAGCAGGGGAGTTTGTTTCCTCTYTGCCCATCCATCGTTGGGGGGACGCTGATATCCACAACGTTGTTGCCTGGTGAATCGTCGTGTGCTGATCTGTCCAATATTTGCCTCTGAGATACCATACGGTAGATTTCTGCAGGGGGAAGGAAGGGGAGAAAAACCTACAATCATGTGTCGACAAACACAGACATTCAGAGACAAAATTGTTGGTGCCCCTCTGTTAATGACCCAAAAACCCATAACAGTCACTGGAATATCTGGGGATGGGGTGGGGAACATTATATTAGTTTAAAATGGCTCCAAACAATGTTGTCATTTATCTCAATGATTTCTGAGTCAATTTATTGTCCAGTAAAATTTGCTATGGTGACAGGCCTCGGTGTGTCCTCTAATTAACATTATAGGTGTCTTCAAACTTGTTAATCCGTCAGTCTACCTCGTTAAAGTGTGACAAGTAGTCACTGTGCTGTTTGGTGTCGTGGTGTGTAAYACACTGAACATGAACCACAGGAAGCCAAGGAGAGATTTTGTATATATATTTATATTAGGGCTGTGCAGTAAATGTGATAGACAGTAGAAACAGTWTGAAGTTGGCCTACGGTAGAAATTCACCCTATACTGTCCTGTYGTCAGTTACATCATCTCACCTTTGTCAGCATGGTTGCGAGCGAGTGCAGAGACAACTGAGCAGGAGGAGTTTGAAATATAATGACRAAATTATAGCGTTTTAAAACATGTATAAAGAGAATAAATCCTCAAAATTTCCCCCTCCCGCTGTAGAAAAGTTACGTCGTGTCGCAGGATCATTTCTTCCTTCCCTCCCGCTGCACGTCACGCAGAGCGAAGCTTTGACAACCGTAGTTTTTTCCACACCCTAGTTGTCGGAGAATAAACTTGTTTTTTGTGTATTGTTACCCACAGAGATGATTAAAAAAAGACGTGGACGTTCCTTCAGTCATATATCTGMTCTGAAAGCGCAGCAGAGAAGCAGCCGATAAATTCAGCAGGCAGAAGCTCTTAGTATGGCAGGCAGATATTACATTTATTTGGCTTCACCACACTTACATTCCAGTTATCTGAAATTGTTTTATGACAGGACTATGTGCACTCTTAAGCCCCTTAAAGTCCTGCTACACTATAACGTTTTAGACAACTTACACCAACTTAGAATTTTGTTTTATGTCTAAATGACTAATTTTACTAGAAGTACTGGTTATAAC